TTGGGCCAGTCACCATTCTCTGGGAACTCTCTCAGCCCCACCTCCCTCACAAAGCTGCCTGCTGTGGGGAGAGGAAGGGAAGGCGATGGTAAGCAGCTTTGAGACGCCTTAAGGTAGAGAAGCGTGGAGTATAAAAACCTGTTCTTCTTCTCCTCGCCTGAATATTTCAGCCACCCATGTTAAATGCAGCTATGAATAGCTTATGGGGTCAAAATGAGCAAGTCTCATTAAGCAAAAGATGCATGGAGTCCTCAAGGTAAAATGTTGCTAGCTTTACTATTATCTGCTGGTTTCCCTCAGAATGCTTCAGAGGAAGGGAATGTGATTGGAAGCAGCTTAGATACTCCTTGTGGTAGAGGGAAGCAGGGTAATATATATTATATATATATTATTGCCCTGATCTAGAAAGCCCAGACAAGTTTGATCTCGTCAGATCTCGGAATCAAAGCAGGGCCAATCCTGGTAAGCATTTGAATCGGAAACCTCTAAAGAATACCAGGGCCAGGAAGCCAGAGGCACGGGGCAATCAGGCACAGAATTAGCCATGCCATAGTGTGACTGCCGAGCAAATTTTAAGGGCATGATCACATGAGAACATCGGCCAGGCGTCCCACACCCGTCGGCAACACTAAGGAAAGTCCAGTAGCAAACGGGTTTGCTACGGGCAAGGAACAGAATTTCCCCTGGGTGATCGTGCCAGCGCTCTCTCATGGCATTCAGATGGTCTCATTGGGCCATCCCGACTCCATACCATTGGTTTTCCTCCCATTTCAGTATGCGCATCATCGCACACTGCATAGGGAACACTTAGTGCGAAGATGCGAATCATCAATCCCCCATGGAAGTGCACTGGAAACACATGGCAAAAAACCCCCCACAACTGATTCACCCGTGGGTGCGTCTGATCACACAGTGGTGAGCTGCCCCCACAGCTCCCAGGGACTGTGTGATCGCACAAATGTGGGCCAAATGCAACAGAGCAAATGGCCTCGCTTCCCCCCACCCCACATCATTTCATGCAGCTGATCAAGCCTGTCTTCTGTGCCCCAGTAAGGTAAAGGTAAAGGTTGGCAGGAACTGTGCTCCAGCAGGAATCACCAGAAGTTGTCACGCTTTTTAAGCCGGTTTGAAGCCGTTTCTGATCTGTCGTGGAGTAAACCGGTATAGGGCTGTCATTTCACACATGGCTTTCCCCTACCGGTAAACAGCTGGATCTGAAGCAGTTTTGCCATTTCAGACTGCAGTGCTTTTCCCCGCGTTCTCCTGCCGTTTTTTGCATGCGCGGGCGATCTCCGGCTTTTTAAAAAAACGTTTGCTTTAGAGTGCTACAGTGCTATAACACAACACTCCAGGCATCCCAATGGGGTTGCTATAATGCTGTTTTGCTGTTGTGTTATAGCGCTGTAGCGCTATAGCTCTCTAAAGCGAACATTAAAAAAAAGCTGGAGATCACCCGCGCGGGCGAAAAATGGCGGGAAAAAGCGTTTTGGATCCGGGTGAAGAAACTGAAGACTACTTGGAAGTGGTTTACAGGTAAAACAGTTCAGCCCCATTTCCTGAATGGGACAGAAGCATTTGTGTGTGAAAGTACAAATATATTCCGGTAGGGAACCGGTTCTAAAACGGTTCTGTCTGAAATGTCAGACCAGAAACCGCTTGGGAACCGTTCCTGAACCGGAATATATCGCCTGTCTGAAATTCCTCTATATACACACACATGCAAAAATACTTCCCCAATCTCTTCTTCTTTGTGAGACTTTGACCTTGCCGTTCTTTTCTTCATAACTTCATAAAGAGGCTCCCTATTGTGAACCTTATCAAGTGGACTCTAGTCCATAAAACCACACATTGTAACACTTTTAATAAAATATTTTAAAGGTAATACAAGATAATCCCCCCACAGAGACAGAGAGACAGAGAGACAGAGAGACAGAGAGACAGAGAGACAGAGACTATCATAGGATCATAGAATGTTAGAGCTGGAAGGGACCTTGCAGGTCATCTAGTGTTTCTAGCCTGGTTTCCAGTACTTCCCTAAACCGGAACTCTGCAAAAATCCAAAAGGACTTAAATTCAATTCTGGAAACCCAAGCAACTTTGGCCCCGGTCACACTAGGGGGAAAGGCATGGCTGAAGTGTGGCTTTTTAGAGTCGCATCAAGAGAAGCACAACTGCGGGATCAGACAGATCCCCCCAGTCACCGTGCAGTTCCCCCCTGGCCGGGGGGAAGCCACGGACCGGAGAGCAAGGTGAGCCCGCTGCCCATGCGTGTGCATGCGCAGTTTGGCAGGACCTCACATGCTGTGGGAGAGACAGGCACACTGGTGATCAGACGACCGTCCCTGCAGCGGATTTTCCGGTAGGTACTAGTGTTTTCTAGTGGGTTTTTTTAAAATCCTCATCTTTGGCCGGAGAGATGGATCGGGGACGGGTGCACGCCGCTTCCCAGATGTTGCAGTGTGATCGCGCCCAATTGATGCACTCCCAATCTGTCCCTCTTGCGGATCTAATCCTCCCGTGTGATGGGGGCCAACATACCTGAAAGATGGTCATCCACCCTCCGCTTGAAAATGTCCCATGAAGGAGCATCCACCACCTCCCGAGGCGGTCTGTTCCACCGCTCAACCACTCTATCAGTTAGGAAGTTTCTCCTGATATTTAGCTGGTATCGACTCCCTTGTAATTCCCACCCATTAGATCTAGTCTTGCAATCCGGAGCAAGAGAGAACAGATCCACTCCATCTTCTACCTGACAGCCCTTCAAATATCTGAAGACTGCAATCATGTCCCCTCTAAGCCTTCTCTTTCCCAGCCTAAACATACCCAACGCATTCAGCCTTTCTTCCTGCTGCTGGAATGATGGGTGAGAGATAAACGTTTCTCACTATCCCATTTCCCCATAGCTTGCATGATTTGTCAAACAAGCCATTAAGGTTTGCCAGCTCAGGGTTGGATATGGGAGTAGACCCAGAGGAAGGCTGGGTTTGGGCAAGCAAATGACCTCATTGGAGTATCATGACATGCAGTCCACCCTCCAAAGTAGCTATCTTCTGTGAGGGAACTGATCTCTACAGTATGGAAATCACCGGGAGCTCCCCAGGCACCACCTGGAGGTTGGCAGCCTATGATGGATGACCTCCAGTTCCACCCTCCAGGTATTACACCAAATCTCTGCCTACAGGGACTTGCAATTCCTTGCAATCCCTGCTTTCTGCTCTGACCAGGAACTGGCACAAACCTCACAAAGTGCCTTAGAAGTTCATGGAAGTAACCGTTCCCGAACCATGAAGAAGCATAATTTGTCATGAATTTTGCTTTGCAGTTCAGTTCATTCTCATCCCTAATGGTAACTGAGCTGTCTAATGGCATGCCTCCTAAAAAGAATTGGTTCATACATGTGGCAAAAAATAGACACCTATTTTATCACTGCATCAATATAGATCTCCTTAATATAGTATATCTGCACATCGGTATTTTTCTTTTCTGCCATCATACCAAAGAAGATGCAATCTGGAATGGAGCTGGTTCCAATTATAACTAGAATCTGTATCGCCTGGAGACAAAGAGAAAGAACCATAGATCAGGAAGTCCCTGAACCAAATCTCCCTTTTGAGACTTACTCACTAGGTCAGGGGTGTCAAACATAAGGCCCAGGGGCCGGATCTGGCCCAACCAGGGCTCTTATGTGGCCCGCGAGCAACTGTGGGTATAGATAGGGACTCTGGGGCAAGTGATGCTCTGTCTTCTTGGTGCTTGGGGGGGTCATCAGTGGGAGGGCTTCTAATGTCCTGACCCCACTGGTGGACCTCCTGATGGCACTGGTATTTCTGGCCACTGTGTGATACAGAGTGTTGGGCTGGATGGGCCTTTTGCCTGATCCAACATTGGTGTCTCTTATGTTCTTATGGGGGAAGCCACTCCATTGTGGCTTCAGCACAGCAGAGCAACCTCATCTGTTCCCTAGGCACCACATGGAGGTTGGTAGCCTATGATGCATGACCTCCAGTTCCACCCTCCAGGCATTACACCAAGTCCCTGCCTACAGGGGGAGTCTCTAGAGGCTCAGTGGCATCAACCAATGAGAGGCTATGGAGCCTCTGAGAGAGTGGGAGAAGAAAGTTAGGAAGAGGTCAAACTGGCATAACGTCAGATAGGGGTTGGGGAAGTGACAGAGAAATATGGAAAGCAACCAGGGGAATGGTCGAGGTACTGAGGCTTCATGAGGTGAAGAAAGAAAGTCTCAGGCATCTATCTTTCGTTTAGGTAGATATGACTAAGGGGCCTGCAGAGAGGCAGGAACAGAGCAGGTATCTTGTGCTACCTCACGGAAATTGTGCGTTAGTGACCTGTGAGGGGATTGTGGGAAACAGCTCAAGAAACAAGCTCACACCGTGTCAAGATTCTGAGATGCTTGGGATGAATTAAAAGTTTCATGGAGGGGGAAAAAATCATTCTCTCTCGTACTCCCAGGAACAGCCTGCTATTTCTGTAAAGCTGTGTCTGAAAGTGTAACTTTTCGAGAGCAGATCTTAACATAACATAAGAACATAAGAGACGCCAATGTTGGATCAGGCCAAAGGCCCATCCAGTCCAACACTCTGTGTCACACAGTGGCCAGAAATACCAGTGCCATCAGGAGGTCCAGCAGTGGGGCCAGGACATTTGAAGCCCTCCCACTGTTGACCCCCCCCAAGCACCAAGAAGACAGAGCATCACTTGCCCCAGAGCCCCTATCTATACCCTGTAGCTAATAGCCACTGATGGACCTCTGCTCCATATGCTTATCTAATTCCCTTTTGAAGCTGTCCATGCTTGTAGCCGCCACCACTTCCTGTGGCAGTGAATTCCATGTGTTAATCACTCTGCTCTTATTTATTTATCTATTTTTCAAATGTCTACCCTGCCTTCCCGGCTGAAACCAGCTTTTCCTTCCTGTACTTAGCTGATGCTCTGTTACATCCCTTGGCTCATCCCTCAATCACATTAACAGGAAACCGAGGTGTTGATGAAGTGCAGATTTTATTTTGCAACAGAAGACAGGCACAATCGCACAGTTCCGGGTATCCAAGAAAAGAAAAATCAGATACAAAGCTTGATCATTTTTTTTTTTTTACATGTCATGGTCTACAACATTGCTTTTCAAACTATGCCCAGTGAAACTTGGGGTTCTTCAAGAACTTAACAAAGGGGCACTCCATGGCGATTGCACAAATGCTTCCCTGACGACAAACTTGCTTAATGTCTTAACCATTACCGATCATACAGCTCACAAGGAGAAACAATGAAGAATGGGAATCCTGGCCATTAAACCCCTCCAAGAAATGAATGTATGTCTCAATACATGTCCCAGAATTGTTGGAGGACACAGACTGAAGGGTTCATACAAGGCTGTTTGGGATACTTTCTTGAGGCCCATTGTGTCCCATGACTGAAGAAATGCAACATAAATGCCCAAAAAAAAATTAACTGAAAGTCCTCCCTTAAAGGTACCTGGATAGAAAGCTTTAAAAACGAAAGAAAACACTGGCTTATAACATGAAAGGTGTACACATCAAGAATATTTTTCCAGTGTTGCTCTTGATTTCCAGTTTCCAATTCTCCATTCTTTTGTGAGGGTTGTGACCATTGCACACAGCATCAGTAGAAGGAACGGCCGCCAGCCCAGCCTCTCTGCATCGAATTCTGGGAATAAATTCCAGTGACCCTGGAACTGCAGACTCCCCCTGCATAAAGGGACCCGTATCCACCACTGCGGATTGCCTGGGGGGCTGGAATACAGGGGTTGTGTTGCTCAATGGTGAGTGGTTGGTCAGGGCAGTAGAGGGACGGTCCTGGAATGATCATCCTGAAGGCTGGAGGCTGAATGGTCACAGTCATGGGAGGACAGCTTACGTTGCACTGGTTGCCGTCAGCAGCCATCTTTTCAGCCGATGGGTATCTAAAGGAACACAACAGGATGGGGATAGATACAGTGCAAAATGATCACTTCGATATGAATCTCATAGTACCCATTTTCCAAGAGACATTTAAGACCTGATAGCAATCAGGAGGTGTACAGAAAAACACTCAACAATGATTTGGACACTTTGCTGGCACACAAAATATTTAGCTGTTTTTGTTTTAATTAATTAATTAATTAAGTTTTTAATTTCCTCCCCACAAACAATTTCACAAAAGCAAAAGCATAGTGCCTGAGAAATAAAAACAAAAAGACCAGATCCTGCATAAAATAGAATTCCGTTAAAAATTACCCTACATTGAGCACCTACAAAATTTTACTGCGTAAAGAGGCAGCAGCCAGTAAAAAACTTTGCCACAAGTTCAGTTACGTTTTCCTCAGTGCTATTCAGGGGTCATTTCCTGTGGGAGCGCACAGGAGCGGCGCTCCAACAGTAAGGAGCCCAGTGGGTGGGCACATGCAACAAGCCCCGCCCCCTGCTTCCAGCAGCCCTCAGTCGGGCCATGAGGAGCAAAAAGCAGCCAGGTAAGTTGCAGAGCCCCCCTCCTCTGTGAGGGCAGATCTGCACACACCCCCATAGCTAGCAACCCAAAACAGTCCAGTGGCACCTTTAAGACCAAGTTTTATTTAGGTACAAGCGCTCCCTCCTCTGCGAGGACAGATCTGCACGTTCCCCCTCCCCCAATAGCTAGGAATCCAAAACAGTCCAGTGGAGCCTGATCGGTGGGTGTTGCCTTCTGACACACTTCCGGTGATGTCCGGGGGTGTGGTATATGCAAATAAGTTATGCTGATAAGTTCCTGATGAGTTCCTGCACCTCTTTTTCTACGAAATGACCCCTGGTGCTATTTAACAGAAAGAGTAGTTTGTTCAGCCTGGAACAATCTGACACAGTACCCAAAATTGGTGATAAAATTTGTTGTCTAATGCCAGCAGAATAACAACATTCAAGCAGTACACGGTACACTATTTCAATAGTTTCACATGTACAAGGGCAAAGCCTACTGGCAAAACGAATACCCTGGAATCTTCCAAATAAAATTGCTGATGGTAAAGCATTAACCTAGCCAATGTAAAAATTCCACGTAATTTCGGAGATTGCAGTTGGAATAACTGTGTAAGCGTTCTATCATGGGATATATCCCGTGGTTTTTAATTTACTTACAGGAAACCTTGACCCTAGTTTTGTAGGTGTGTTTCTACTATATAAGCATGCTATGTGATTCGTACATGCATTTTTGCGTGTATAGTGTGCTTCAGTTCATATATAACACTGATCTGTTGATGTACTAAAATATGTTTTCTAGGATAGATTTTGTGGTATGAAGCATAAATTTGTGCAAATATTAAGGACCACGGGTTCAACTCAAGCAAGGGAAGAAAAACATGAAAACGACATCTGTCAAAAGCCAGTCCATCCTACCACCTGAGCCACTTGAAACAATTCTCTTTACCTTTTAGTCAACTTGAAAGGGGGGGGAAGTGTTTCCTGCCCCCAGACATTGGTTTGCCTTAACTCATGAAAACTATCAGAGGACAGCTGTGTCCATCTGCAGTCAAGTCCAGCAGCCCCTTAGAGACGAACAAGGAAGGGACACGGCTCAGTGGTTGAGCATCTGCTCGGCGTACAGAAGGCCAAGCAGATGCTCAACCACTGAGCCGTGTCCCTTCCTTGTTGGTCTCTAAGGGGCTGCTGGACTTGACTGCAGATGATCCAGGTCTGTAGCTACAATGGGGCATTTGGGGGCACTGCCCCCTTAATTAAAAGCCCTGCCCCACAAATAGCCATGCCATAAATATTATGTTTGCATGCTTCCCAAAGGCTCATGGGAATGCTTTTGAAAGACTCACCATGACCTAGGGGGTCTACAGCAGGACCGAGCCAGCAGGAAGGGGGATTGTTGGAGATGTATTGAAGGTACCACTCTCGAGTGCCCTTCTAAGCTTTCCTGCTCTGTGGAAGGGAACTCAAAAGGCATTGAAATGCCTTCTGAAGGCAATTCAATGTCCTCTGAGTTCCCCCTTCTTAAAAATTGATGTGCTTGCTGCTCCGACCCTTGAAAGGAAGGGCTAGAATCAGGCTTGGAGCCTCCCCTTTTGAAGACAGGCATTCAGATTAATTAAATTAATTGTAAGTTAACCACCCCCTTAAAAATTTAAATGCCCCCCCAAACAAAACAATCCTGGCTACAGGCCTGAAAAAATCAGGGAGATGGTGGCGTGAAAGACCTCTGTCTGCATCCCTGGAGAGTAGACAGTGCTGACCTTGACGAACCAAGTATCTGAGTCACGATAAAGCAGCTTCATGTGCTCAACTACATTTCCGTGGCCTGATCTTTCAGGAGTCAAAACTCCCTTCATCGGTTAAGGACCTCTGTCCTGACTTGTATTTGACAAAGACAGCACTGACTCTTGAAAGCTTATACCATGAACACCCTGTTGGTCTCTAAGGTGCTAATGAGCTTGAATCCAGCTCTTAAGTGCAGATCCTTCCATCAACACAGCATGCTTTCCTGCAGAAAGGAGACCCTCAGGGCTATTTTGGGGCAGGAACGCACAGGAACGAAGTTCTGGCTGGCTTCAGAGTTGGCCACGCCCACTACAGCCAAAACCTCTGTGTGTGTGGCTACAGAGGGAAGGCCTGGAGAGCGACCCCCCCAGTGACTCCGAGGTGGGCGGGCCAGGGGGGCCCTGGAAGGATCGGGGAAGCATTTAAATGCCTCCCCGTGCCTTCCCTGGCCTGTCCAAGGGCTGGCTTGCCTGGGCTCTCCGCAGCCACAGGATGCCCAGGCAAGCCAAGGGAAGGCATGGGGTGTGGCCTAATATGCTAATGGGTTTCTGCTGTTGGGTGTGGCCTGTTATGCTAATGAGTTACTGCTGGGCTTTTTCTACAAGAATAAGCCCTGGAGACCCTCATTCCCCTGGAAATATCTCCTGGAGTCACTCAATCACCCCTCCCTTAATGAGCAAAGTGATAGAAAACCTTTCACTTGGTTGAGACCCTGATACCACCACAGCCAAAGGAGGAGGATGATGAGGAGATTGGATTTATACCCCGCCCTTCACTACCCAAAGGAGTCTCAGAGCGGCTTACAAACTCCTTTCCCTTCCCCTCCCCACAACAGACACCCGGTGAGGTAGGCAGGGCTGAGAGAACTCTGACAGAAACTGCTATTTTTTGAGAACAGCTGTGCCAGAACTATGGCTTGCCCAAAGCCATCCAGCAGGTGCAACTGGGGGAGTGGGGAATCAAACCCGGTTTTCCTAGATCAGAATCCGCGCACTTAACCACTACACTACACCAAACTGGTGTTACCATACTTTCCAACAAGAATACTAGAATGTTCCTCAGTATTCCATGACCTTTTGGCTATTCTGGACTGGGTTACAGGTATTTTAGCTTAACCCACAAATTTGATATGCATACCAAGAGGAAGAAGAAGAAGAAGAAGAAGAAGAAGAAGAAGAAGAAGAAGAAGAAGAAGAAGAAGAAGAAGAAGAAGAAGAAGAAGAAGAAGAAGAAGAAGAAGAAAAGCTTAGCTTTCCTTCTTGGCTCTACACGCTGAAGCCAAAGAGGTAACATTTTGGTGCAATGAACTTCTATGCCTGGCTAGTTGGTCAACCACCACCAATATTAAAAGATATCTTGAGATGATGAAGAAGAAAAAACTTACCTTAGTTTCCAAAGGAAAGAACTCGAGTGAAGAGTCTCTGTGTCAAGAGGAGATTGTGCTACACCTCTGTTTCCTGAGGTTTTTATACACGTCCCTCAGGCCTCTGAGAGGATGACACCCTTTTGTTTTCACAAGATTTTAATTAACTCACGGCAACATTCTCCCTTTCTGTAACACCCAAAATTCCTTCCACGAGTGATTTAACTATTAGTAATTCTCCTTCCCCATTTCCTCATATTTCACAGTTTCCTTTCTGTGAAACTATTTCGAGGCACACCTGAAACCAAATTCAGAGACAGTTCAGGGTCCCCTAGTCTGGAATAATACTTGAGGAAAGAGTTGGGGGAGGGTTTTAGAATGTATCATTCAGGGATTTATTTAGTTTTTTTAAAAAAATTATTATTGCATTTCTACCCCACCCTCTCTGCAAGCGGGCTCAGGGTGGCTTACAAGAGGGCACCATGTACCAAAGCACTGTTGTTGTTGTTCAGTCGCACAGTTGAGTCCGACTCTTCACGACCCCATGGACCAGCTCCCGCTAGGCCCTCCTGTCTTCCGCCGTCCTCTGAAGTTGGCTCAATTTCATGTTCGTTGCATCTATGACACTGTCCAACCATCTCATCCTTTGCCGTCCCCGTCTTCTTTGACCTTCTGTCAAAGCATAAAACAACATAAAAACAAGATAACACATTAAAGTGCTCAGTGATGACAATCAAAATTTAACAAGATGGAGTCAAATTTGCAAGATGGACTCCCCAGTATCTTACATAACAATAGGGAGATTAAGACCCATAGATGTTAATCAACCCCATCCAGCGGTACTGATCACAGTGAGGTCATGGCTGATCTTCATGGGGCCACCCCTCAAATCTACCAATGGTGGTAATGGTAGTAGTGGCGGCTCCTACTCAAAAGCCTGGTGGAAGAGCTCCGTCTTGCAGGCAGGATGATGAGGGTTACATACCACCCCTTCTTTGTTCACTTGTGGGGGAAGGCGAGTTAGAAATATAAAAATAAATAAATAAACTGACCTATGACATGTAAAGACTTGATGCCAAAGGTAAATCTCTCGAGCAGATGCATTCTTCATTTCCTCTTGGTGGGACATAAACACATATTTCTCTGGCACTTTGAAGATGTCCCTCTCATGGTGTTGCATTCCCATTTTCCTCTTTCACGCTCTTCTTTCCCTTCTCTCAGCAGTCTTGCCTTTTTACAGTGTTAATGGGGAGGGGGGCAAAGCAGAGCTTTGTTAGATCATCCTCGTGGTTTGGTAACATTTCTGGGCCAGCATTCATTTCTAGTCAGTGTGATGTTGCTGTGGAGAATGCACATAAACACATGCACACGATCTGTAGAAATCTGTCCGTAGAAGTAGAAAAGAGCAAGAGTCCAATAGCACCTTAAAGACTAAGACCAATTCCCCACAAGCCGCTGCTCCACCCTCGCTCTTTCCTTTCCCCCGATCGTATGCATCAATTTCCCACTATTTGCTCGTCAGCCACATTTTGACCCGCAACTTCACCCGATTTCCCCGTCTTCTTGATGCTGTTTTTTGAGCAAGGGTGGAGCAGCAGCCTGTGGGAAATTGGTCTAACAAAATATGTGGCAGGGGATGAGCTTCCATGAGTTTACTTCTTCAGATACTGAAGATTACTTCTTCAGATACTGAAGAACTTCAGATACTTCAAATATTGAAGTACCACTTACTTCTTCAGATACTGAGGATTCTGAAGAAGCGAGCAGTGACTCATGGAATCTCATACCCTGCCACATATTTTGTTATTCTTTAAGGTGCTACCAGACTCTTGCTCTTTTCTAAGGTCCACATTGTCTTCTCAGAAACGGTCTCCAGGTTCTCAGGCAGAGGTCTTTCACATCACATCACGTCACCTACTACCTGCTCCTTTTAACTGGAGAGGTTGGGGATTGAACCTGGGACCTTCTATATGCCAAGCAGAGGTTCTTCCACTGAACCACAGCTCCTCCACTAAATACAGTGACGAGAGCATCACCATGATGACTGAAGCAGGCCAAGGCAGTAAATCTCTGGATCCAGAGGAAATAAACCTCTGATTACTAATGCTAGAAGGTAACCACTGAGAGAGGCTTTGCCTTCTATTTCCTATTTGTTTGCCCTTCTACGGCAGCTTGTTGGCCACTGTGTGAAACAGGATATTGGGCTAGATGAACTGACAAAAGGATTTATGTCTTTACGGAACAAGCAATTAAACTGTGATGTTCATTGCCAGGGGAGGTAATGATGGCTACCAGCATAATTGTTGTTCAGTCGCACAGTCGAGTCCGACTCTTCGCGACCCCATGGACAAGATCTTGGAAGGCCCTCCTGTTTTCTGCTGTCCTCTGAAGTTTGCTCAATTTCATGTTCATTGCATCTATGACACTGTCTAAACCATCTCATCCTTTGCCGTCCCCGTCTTCTTTGACCTTCATTCTTTCCCAGCATCAGGGTCTTCTCCAGTGAGTGCTCCCTTCTCATTCGGTGGCCAAAGTATTTGAGCTTCAGTTTTATTATCTGGCCTTCCAGGGAACTGTCAGGGTTGATTTCTTTGAGGATTGACTGATTTGATCTCCTTGCAGTCCAAGGGACTCTCAAGAGTCTTCTCCAGCACCATAGTTCAAAAGCATCTATTCTTTGGTGCTCGGCTTTCCTTATAGTCCAACTCTTGCAGCCATACATGACTGCTGGGAATACCATTGCTTTGACCATGTGGACTTTTTTTGGCAGGGTGATGTCTCTACTTTTTATCATGCTGTTTAGGTTCGCCATCACTTTCCTCCCAAGGAGCAGGCATCTTTTAATTTCATGGCTGCTGTCACAGTCTGCGGTGATCTGGGATCCCAGGAACATGAAGTCTGTCACTACTTCCACGACTTCCCCTTCTATTTGCCAAGGAGTGATGGGGCCGGATGCCATGATCTTAGTTTTTTTTTATGTTGAGCTTCAAGCCCACTTTTGCGCTCTCCTCTTTTATTCTGAACAAGAGGCTCTTTAGGTCCTCTTCACTTTCTGCCATTAGAGTGGTATCGTCTGCATATCTGAGGTTGTTGATCTTTACCCCAGCAATCTTAATTCCCGCTTGTGATTCACCCACCATCATACATTATGAAATATCACTATCACTCCATTTCATAGAATCATAGGAACATAGAGTTGGAAGGGACCATACAGACTGTCTAGTCCAACCCCCTGCCCAATGCAGGACCAGCCTAAAGCATCTCTGATGAATATTCGCCCAGCCTCTTCTTGAAAGCTGGCAGTGAAGGGGAGCCCACCACCTCCCTAGGCAGCTGACTCCACCTTTGAACTACTCTGACTGTGAAAAATGTGTTTCCTAATATCCATCCAATACCTTTCTGCATGTAATTTAAACTCATTGCTTCGGGTCCTCTCCTCTGCTGCCAACTGGAACAGCTCCTTGCCCTCCTCCAAATGACAGCCTCTCAAATATATTAAAAGAACAATCATGTCCCCCCTCAACCACCTCTTCTCCAAACATTTAAGTGAACACATCATTGATGAGGGGAAGGAACATCAGCCACAATGAAGCATATACTTATTTGCAGGGGTCATTCCATAGAAAAAGAGGTGCAGGAGCTCATTAGCATAACTCATTAACATAACTTATTTGCATACACCACACCTGCTTCTTGCTCTGACTGAGGGCTGCTGGGAGCAGGGGGTGGGGCTTGTTGCATGTCCCCGCCCCCTGGGCTCTTTACTTCCAGAGCTCTGCTCCTGTGCACTCCTGCAGGAGATGACCCCTGCTTATTTGGATACATGATAATCTTGCTGAACTGTAGACTTGGTGGTTTATATTCGGTCAGAGCCCAAAGGTGGAATGCTTTTCATTAATGCCTTGGACAGAAGCAGAGCTTTTTTCCCCCTGGGGGAATGCGCCAAAACGGAATTCTGGAACCTCTTCAACAAAATTCTTTTTAAAAGGTCCAAACGTTTTTGAGTTTTCGGTATTCAGACTGAAAACTTCATTTTCCTCTTGAGAGTTCTGGCATCTCTCTCTCTTTTTTTAAAAAAAAGCCCTAGTGAGAACCAAAACCAACCTGCCCTCAGTTTGGTAATAACAACAACAGCAACAACCACTGTATACTACATTAGTCATTCATCAGGAGGGCCAGGATTACTGTTCAAACTGACAGTGTATTTGGTAATACTGTATCGTTATGCTTGCTCGGTTGTCCCTATCTGGCTTTCTGGCTCCGTTTTGGGTGGAGGAACTGCCGATTCTATCTTGGGAAATTCCTGAAAACTGGGGGGAGGGGGGTACTTGGGGAGGAGGGCAGAACCTGGGAGATGAATGAACTCAAGGGGGAACATGATGCCCTGGAGTCCACCTTCTGAATCTGCCACTTCCGACAGAGGCCGCGGTGGCTCAGAGGTTAAGACGCTGAGCTGCAGACTAGAAGGTCAGTAGCTCGGCAGTTTGAGACCAAAGTGCCGTGTGATGGAGTGAGCTCCCATCTCTGACCCCAGCTCCTGCCAACCTAGCAGTTCGAAAGCAAGAAATTGCAAACAGATAAATAGATACCGCTTCGGTGGGAAGGGCAGCCACATGACCACGGAAACGTCTTCGGACAGCGCTGGCTCTTCAACTTGGAAACGGAGATGAGCACCACCCCCTAGAGTTGGATTTGACTTGCTTTCAAGCAAGGGAAACCTTTACAAAGAAATTGGCCCCTGTAGTCTGGAGATCAGTTGTAATTCTGGGAGAACTCCAGACCTCACGGAGATGGTGGCAGTGCTGGCAGAACAGGAGCCCATCCCCTTCTCCCGTGGGGAGACCAGTGTTCCCTCTAAGCTGAGTTAGTGTGAGCTAGCTCACAGTTTTTTTAGCCTCCAGCTCACACATTTTTGTCTTAGCTCAGGACGGATGACTCCAAAGCAAACGAATGTATTCAGTAGCCAAATCATTCACTCACAACTTTAATGTCAGTAGCTCACAAAGTAGAATTTTTGCTCACAAGACTCCACAGCTTAGAGGGAACATTGGTGGAGACTCCCTTAGTTAGTAGTTCCCCATCTTCTTTTGGACTTAGTT